AGTCACTTAACCTCTCTGAGCCTGCATTTCTTGATGGCTAAAGCAAGTCTAATCGTGCCCAACGAATGAAGTTCTTGTCAAGATAAAATAAGAGAAAGCATATAAGTGAACCAGTACAGTGACCAGAATATTAGGAACAGTACGGACAGCCGTGGTGGCTCACACCTGTAATCCTAGCACTGTGGGAGGCACTTGAGGCCAAGTGTTTGAGATCAGCTTGAGCAATAGCAAGACCCTGCCTCTACTAAATATAGAAAAATTAGCCAGGGGTGGAAGGCACCTGTAGTCCCAGCTACTCGGGAGACTGAGACAGGAGGATCACTTGAGCCCAGGAGTTTGAGGTTGCTGTGGGCTATGATGATGCCACTGCACTGGAGCCTGGGTGACAGAGTTAGAAAGACATTGTTTCAAAAAAAAAAAAAAAGAGCTGTATGGGTGATGATGATGATGGTGATGATGAAGATCTAGCTCTCCGTTGCTGCCCACGTCCCCAGAGACACACAGGCTTTTCCCTTTCACTTTCGTTCTCTCATGCCCTCACTTCTTCCATGATGCCCTGGAGTTGTAGAGGAAAACAGTTTATCTTCTCATCACAAGGACTTCAGAGAGTCCCACCACACTGGCATTGACCACCTTCCTTTGATTGATTGTTCCCTTGGCTGATCCGTCGATGAGCTCAGGGAACATCACCCTGCTCTTGTTTGCTTCTAACCTTTTCTCCTTTGTCGCCTATAATCTTGTACCTACTGGGGAGTCACTCCACCGTTCTGTGCCCACGTTTTGGCTGGTGTTAGGTGGGCCAGGGGACATTGCGTTTCAGGCACTAAAAGAGACGTTCGTGATTGATGGCAGGGATGATGTTTCCAGGCTCCTTAGAGAGAAACAAGCTGTGAGGGGCAAGTGGTTATTGGCGTAATAGTGCTTTCCCACTTCTGTGAGTGTTAGTAATCAAAAGCAGAATTTGGCCTTCCCAGAGAGTAATTTTGCAATTTGGCAGTGCTGGAGCGGAGAATTCCACAGAGTCCATTGATACATTCTCTTGTAAATTCTCCCAGCCAACAATTTTTGGGGGCTATTTTCTTTAATTAAAAAAAAAAATCCTCATTAAAAATGTAAAACCAAAAGAGATTTTCCCCCCTTCCTATTGGTGCTCCGACAGCCCAGTACTTGAATTAAACAGACCTAAATAGACTCTCCAGCAAGCTTGGACAACTTTTATAATGCTTTATTGTTATAATTTTTCTTCTTCTTTTTTGTTTTTTTTTTCCATTACGTAGCTTGAACCACAAAGCGAGAGCTATAAAGCTAATTTCATTCCTTTCAGCCTCTTGGCCCCAGGGGGAGATTCTGATTGCTGTGGCTTCTCAGGGTGGTTCCGGCTTTGGTTCTGAGATGGCGCGTGCCACAAGACAGCTGGGCCAGGGGACCCCAGGGGTCCATGGGGGTGTCTGCCGCCTCATGGAAACTTGGCAGATGCTGCATGTCCTCTGCCTAGCCACTCTGACGTGCTTTAGCATGACAAACAAAAACAGGAGCACAGGGTGGGGATGGTTACACCCCTGAGGGAGATGAGGAGTGGGAAGGGAGTCTGGGGCTCTAAACTCCTGGCTCTCCTAAAAGCGTATTTTATTTTAAAAATTGAAAGAAGCAATTAGGAAAAAGTCTAGAAGTAATTAGGAGATGGTTGAGTTTGAGTTCTGGTTGTGTCTCTTTCTAGTGCTGTGACCTTGGGCAAGTTGCTTAATCTCCCTGAACCTCAGTTTCCCAATCCATAAAATGGGAACAAAACATTCTCTATGTCATAGAGTCACAGAAAGCAAGAAATGGGCTAATGTGGCATCCTTCAAAATGTGTTATGTGCAGCCCTTTGCACATCAGATGATTTTAGGTGTTCTCTTTAATTTTAATAGATAAACATTTCTTTTAATTGTCTTAAAGGAACTATAATTAGTACTGCAAACTCATAATTTTACAGATGTTATTGCTTATGGTGAGGCTAAACTTACTTGGATAAAAGGTTAATTTCAATTATGTACTAGGTTAAAGAGTATGTGGTTATGGGTCAGGGAGAATGAAGTTTGGGATTTACTGGTACAGACTCCTAGGCAGGAGCTCTCAACCTCCTCAATGCCAGGGCCTCTCTAGTGTGTTGAAGCCTATTAATCATTTCTCAGAATAAAATGATTAAATGCATGAAATATAATACATAAGTTATAGGGGTGAGAGGAGGGTGGGAATGAAAAATGACATAATGGGTACAATGTACATTATTTGGGTGACAGATACACTAAAAACCCAGACTTCACCACTGCAGACAAAGGATTCCAAAGTGCAGCCCAGGTGGAGAACCTTGGGGATCCTATTAAAATACAGATTATGATCCAGTAGATCTCGGTGACCTTCTGCATTTCTCAAAGGATCCCTGGTAACATTCACACTGCCAGGCACAGACCACACTTTGAGTAGTTAGATCATTTTTCCTCCTTCACGTCTGTGTTTGTTTGTTTTGGGACGGGGTCTCACTCTGTTGCCCAGTGTAGAGTGCAGTGGAATGATCATAGCTCATTACAGCCTCAAATTCCTGGGCTCAAGAGATCCTCCTGCCTCAGCCTCCTGAGTACCTGGTACCACAGGCATGTGCAACCACATCTGACTCATTTTTCCACTTTTTGTTGAGACAGGGTCTTACTCAGGCTAATCTTGAACTCCTGGCCTCAATGATCCTCCTGCCTTAGCCTCCTAACGTGCCACCACACCTAGTCGCACATCTGTTTTCTACTGCCACCTTCATGGAAAACATCTTCACTTTTTAAAAAGAAATTCTTTTATATTTAAGGGATGAGAGGCAAATAGTTCTTTGAGTTGGCCCGTGATTTGTTTGATTTAAATGAATCACAAATGGATTAACAGAAATACATGCAAATAAATTCTGATCTTCAGGGAGCTCAAAATTAAGCATAATACTATAAGAAATAACATTCTCCAAATTCAGAGCATTTGAGGTCAGTGACTACATAGGGTGAAGACAGTGGTTCAAACTGTGCATTCTCCATTCAAACAAATCTGGGTTCAGCTCCCAGTTTGGTGACTCATAGATGTGTCCCCTAATATCTCTAAGCCTCAGATTTCTGACATGTAAAATGAAAGTGATCAGAGGGTTTGTTTTATGTATATAGTCCATAAATATATCCAAAGCCTATCTGATGGCAGGTACTATGCAGAGGAAAGCAGGGAACCTGAGAGGCCTACCTACAACTAACTTACAATATCTTTGTAAGAATAAAAGTGATACTGCAGGGAAATTGCTTAACACAGGGAGTAACACATGAGGGCTGCCTGAGAAAAAATACGCAAGTTACAAAGAAAACCACTTCTATCAAAATGGAGTTGCATTTTGGTATTTCATTTAAATGACTGTGTAGCAATGTATGCACTTTATAAATGCCCTGTCCAAGATTCCTTGTCCCCAGCCCAAATGTAGGATGTGGGATGTTGCAGACAGGCTCATGTCTAACGTCCTTGGATGTCTCTCTCTGTTGTCCCTTTTGTCCTTAAGCTGCCTGTTGTCAACTCCTCTGCAATCCCCACCTTGTTTCCTTTGGGGTTCCTGGTGCTGTTTAGCACCTCTTTCCTTTTTCCCAGGAGAGGTTTCTATGGAAGCTTCTAAGGAAAAAAAAAAGGGGGGATACCTGGTACAAAAGCTGAGGGTAAAAGAATGTGGACCAGACTTTGGACACTTTTGAGGATGCTGTACACAGGATGTTGAATTTTTTGCATGCCTGAGTCAACACTGAGGCTCCCAGGGCTGTGTCATGGCTGCGCACACAGTCTGGAAGTGACAGAGAGGGGGCTTGATTCGGGAGCTGCCTAGATCCCCAGCTGTCTGTGGCTTTTATCTTTTTTGTCTTTGCTCTTCCTTCTGTGGCCTTCCCTCTGTCTCGTTCCCTCTCCCTTCTCCCTCCCTCTATTCTCTTTCCTCCAAAATAAGGACAATACTGATGGCAGTTGCCATTTGTTGAACACTTAGTGTGTGCCTTGTACCTTTCCCAGTCTTTCCCACAATTCACTTATTTCTTCTCTCCACTACCGTTTGAACTGGAGACGCTTACAATCCATGTTTTACAGAAGGGAACCCCATGTTTTACCGAAGGGAATCCATGTGCCCCTGGGGGCACATCAGTGGCCACAAGAACAACAGCTCTTAAGGAAATTCTAAGTCACAAGTAGCAATCTATTCAGAGAAGAGTAACCCAGGATCACATCTGACTATACTAGATGGTCCGCTGCTATGGTTTACTAATTTGGGACAAAGATTTTAGCCCTGTTTTAAAAACAGACATCCAGAGGTTAATTATGAATAACTGCTCAGCACATCTAGCTCTTGAATTAAAGAATTCGAAGATATATAGACTAGGCTGACATATTTCAAAGTGACATGTGTGTTTACATGTGGGGTTTTCTTTTCTTTTCTTTTTTTTTTTTTTTTTGGAGACAGAGTCACTCTGTCGCCCCTGGTAGAGCGCTGTGGCGTCATAGCTCACAGTAACCTCAAACTCTTTGGGCTCAAGTGACCCTCTTGCCTCAGCCTCCCCAGTACTACAGACACACACCACAATACCTGGCTATTTTTAGAGATGAGCTGGCACTCTTGCTCAGGCTAATCTCAAACTCCTGAGCTCATATGATCCACCCACCTCAGCCTCCCAGAGTACTAGGATTACAGGTGTGAGCCACCGTACCCAGCGAGTTAAGAGGGTCCTTAACTGGGGGTGTTCATGTATCTTTCTGTATATGTACAGAATTATTAGTCCATCTATTCATCTAGTACAGAAGGCATAAGTGCCTAAACATATGTCCCTGAAATATGATGGACGTAAATGTAAGTGGATCATTTCACTCTTCAAAATTCTGCTGGATTCTTGGACATGTGCTTCAGCAACTCAGGGAATCTCTGTCAGGGCATTGATAAAAGTTATTTTTCATTTTTTTTTCTCTTTCAGTAAAGAATATCCCGTGGTTCCCAGGAGCACAGTAAGGCAGAAAGTGGCCTCCAACCATAGTCCTTTCAGCAGTGAGTCTCGTGCTCTCTCTACTTCGTCCAACTTAGGGTCCCAGTACCAGTGTGAAAATGGTGTCTCCGGCCCCACCCAGGACCTTCTGCCCCCACCCAACCCATACCCGCTGCCCCAGGAGCACAGCCAAATTTACCATTGCACCAAGCGGAAAGGTGAGTGCGAGCATCGCTGACTGATCCTCCCCCCACTTCCTTTTCTCCATGGAGGGAGAGAGTATACATTTATTTATTCAATGACATTTATTTATTTAAAAGTTTGAGCAACGCAGACATACACAGAGATTGTAAGAAATTCTAACCGTACAGGTGAAACTAAACATTTCCTTGACCTACCTTCCCCAGCTTCAGTCCCTTCCTTGGGGAAAACGTATGTGAAGTCTCCAGACCTGGTGTGTTCATTCACGCATGCGCGCCTACACACGCACACAAAGAAAACGTTTTTGGTTTTTTTTTTTTTTTAACTTTTAACATAGGGGCAATCCCACTATATGGACCTTGCACTTTGCTTTTTTTCCCCTTTCAACTTTAGAATGTGTTTTAGATAAATTTTCATGAACCTAGCCGGCCCTGTATTTTTTTTAACTGCTAAAGAGGAACAGTTGATTGGGAAGAATAAAGCAGAGTTTATCCCCTGCCCTCTCCCCCCAGCAGGCGGGGAGGTTGGTCCCTGGTTGTACATGTTACAAGCCATGAAGTAGGGAACCTCCTTGTAAGTGTAAAAGTCTCTTTGGTTTCTCCCCCGTGGGTTCTGAGCTCTTTTTTCCTTTCCAGATCAAAACCAGTAACCATACACAAGGCTTTCTCCTCCTTCTCATCCCCTCTGTAAACCCATTAAGCTGCTGTTTGACGACTTTTTCCCCAAGTCATCTGAGTCCAAAGGGGCTATGCTAAAAGAGGATATTTCTGGTGGCTCTTTTTGTGAGCCAGAATTGAAATGCTCGGCACAGGTGGTGTGGATGAGTTCGAGTTCAACTCATTGGAACAATTGGCTGGTGTGAGCTGTGGATGGCATGTTTGGGACAGTGCAGGCAGTTAGGGACAAAGAGACATGGATTCAAATCTCCATTCCGCTACCTGCTTCTTGTGTGACCTCGCACAGGTACCTTAGCCTCTGTGAGCCTCAGTTTCCCACTTTGCAAGTGGTGATAAATTTCTAGACCATCTGGTAGTTGGTAAGCACAAGGTAGGTGGCAGCAATGATTGGATAAGGGGTAGATATTGCTCCCAAAGGCAGTAGCCACGAGGGAGGAAAGAGAAGGCTGCTCTTCTAGGCCAGAGCTTGAGAAGATGAATATAGAAGGGACAGTGTAGTCTAGAGCACCCTTCCGAGGTCTGCAGAATCAGACAATTGAGGTGGAGTCCACCTCTGCCTTTTTCAAATATTTGTGAGTAGGGACAAGTTACTTAACCTTCCTAAGCCTCATTTTTTAGAAATCTATAAATTTGGGTTCATGATAGGAATTGTCTCATGTTTGATGCAAATATGTCAAGAAAGTCCACATGTTATGTGCTAGTTCAGGGTCTATTCAGTAAGGAGTAGCTGTTTTTCTCTAAAGGACCTGAATCTAAGCTTGTCGTATGTCATGGCCTCAGGAGCTAACATGGCACCTTTAGAAGCCCAGTGCCCAATGTCCGGATCTTTAGAAAAAACAACTCCCTGACAAGAACTGATGGGCATGGATGTTTTGGCAGGTTTTTCTGCAGCTGGAGTTACATAAGGAAAGTCACACAGTTTGGCTATTTGACATTTACCGGTCTTGCATTTTGAAGTAAGGAAGAGCTGTCATTGGTCTAAGCATGGGGCTGGGAAGCTGACCGGGGTGAAGCCTGCCCTCCAGACTCACCTTAAGCCCACCCAAGCTCCTTGCATCTCTAAGGTCTGAACAATGTATCCCTGGAAGGCACCTTGGCCTGACTCCCAGAATGCCCACTGCAGGATGGGCTGGAGACCAGATGCCTGCAAACATGTCTGTCTCCTTAGGCAAGAGCAGGAGGTTAAGAATATCCCACTGAGCACAAGTCCTTGCACAGAGATTATGTTTACATGATACTTAAAGATGCCCTTTCTAGCTCCTAAGCCATGCCTTTCCAACACTATTCAGTAGGTGCTAATGTTAATCTACTGTAGCAGTGGGGAAACTGAGGCTCAGAAAGTTTTAAACAATGCGCTGGTGGTTCTTGAAGATGGAACTGGAACCCAAACCTGACCTGGTCGGAAAACTCCATACATGTCCCTGTGCTCTTTACGCCACTCTCTGTTGTCTCTGTTACCCTGCTTATCAGCTACAGTCTCAAATTTTCATCTTCCACTGGAGATCTGCTTTTGAAATTGGGTCCAACATGCTGAATAAGAGCTCGCCAGGTTTGAATTAGAGACCTCCATTGATGAAACTCATGCCAGACCGAAAGAAAGGGATGAAGGTGAAAAGACCAAGGCGCTCTTTACGTGTGGTATTTACATCCTCTATAAATGGC